CCTACTCTAATATGCTCACTGTCAAATTCCAAGTAGTGTGGATTAGACCCAGGAGATGAGTTAACTCAAGTGGCAGAACACATGCCTAGCAGACTCTGCTTGATCCTTATCACTGCATCCCTTATCCCAGCACAAGAATGTAGCCTGTTGGCTCCCCAGCATCACCAGGTGACTCCAGGCACCACCAAAGCATCACTGGGAGTGGCCCTGAACCACCCAAGCATTGCTGGTAGTGACTGTTATATATATTTTTAAATCCAGGGGGCTACACAATGTGCCTCCAGGTGCCATCTTAGGGCACCAACAACCCTAGTCAGGAGACACAGCAATGAATACCAGTAGACACCACAGAGCCTCTCCAGGCCCCATACTGAGCCAATTTTGCCAGGGCACCCCAGATGGAGCGGGTGCAGTTGCCCTGCCTACTCCAGATGGAATCCCGGCAACCAAGAGCTTCCATAAGCAAGGCCCAGGTAGCATGTTCCAGGATTAAATCTCCATGCTGTATCGTGGCAGAGGCGCCAGACTGTCCCTCCCCGGCTCCCTGCCCCACTCATTGGCCTGACTGTCACCCCCGTAATGTGCCTCCAGGCACCATCTTAGCACACAAACAGCCCTAGTCCAGAGATAACCAATTGAATCCCAAGATGGATTAGTGCCCTACAGAAAAGTCTCTGGAACCCAACCATGTACAATCTAGGATTCCAGAAGTGCATGGCTGTGGCACCCAAGACATTCAAAATGAGCAATGGACAATAAATAATCTAGCATCTGCCCCTGGTAGGCAGGCTTGGATGGTGGTGGGAAAATTCGAGCAAAACAGAATGCCCAAAAGTAGAGAGAGAGAGTATTGAGAAAATTGTCTGCCATGGAGGCAGAGTGAGGACTGGGACGGTGGGGGGTATACTTGGAACACTGGTGGTGGAAAGTGTGCACTGGTAGAGGGATGGGTGTTTAATCATTGTACGACTGAAACTCGAATATGAAAGCTTTGAAACTGTATCTCACAATGATTCAGTTAAAAAAACGTAATGTGGAGTTTATACCCAATTCAATCAGCTTAATCAATGACTGAATAAAAAGCAGTACTCCTACATTAAAAAAAAAGCCAGGGACTAGAGAAATAATGTAGGGGTTAAGATGCTTGCTTTGCAGGGGCTGAACTTGGTTCTATTCCTGAGCCTGCACAGGATCCCCTGAGTATCACCAGGAGTGGGCCCTGAGCACAGAGCCAGGAGTAAACCCTGAGCATTATCTAGTGTGGCCCTAACACACACACACACACACGCACACACACACACACACACACACACACACTGAAAATGATCCCACTCACCTCTAAAGTATTGCAGATTTGCATTTCTACAACTTCCCAGCAGACGGCAGTAATATGCCACAGTCAAATGTCAGTATACCCGTTTTCTGACAGATGGCTGAGGAAGCAGTGATTGCTAATTCACTCAAAGAACCAATGAGCTCTGTTGGCTATTTATAACATATACATATGTAAATATAGGTCATACGTATTAAATATAGACCTAGTAGCTACTAGGAGAAAAATGTTTGTGTGATGCTAACTGAATACAATGCCACTTCCCCAGAGAACTCAGTTTGCAAATTTCCTGTCACTTATGATAAGATTTTTAGTTGTACTCAGCTGACCCTGGTAGAAATCTACAGACTGGGAAAAAGCTTTTTGTAGTTTTCTTGTTTGTTTCTAGTTTTGGGGTCACACCAGGCAAAGCTCATGGGTTACTCCTGGCTCTGCACTCAGGAATTACTTCATTCAGTGTTTAGAGGACCACATAGGATGCTGAGGATTGAACCCAGGTTGGGCACTTGCAAGGCAAGTTCCTTACCCGCTGTACTATCTCTCCAGCCCCTGGTTTTTCTTTCTTTTTTTAAACAAAGAATAATCAACAGGCTAAGAGTAGAATAGGAGATGAAGGGTCATTTTGCTCAATATGTTCAGTGAGTAATTCCTTAATAATGTTTATATTTTAGTGGCAATAGAGTACTTCATCTTAAAGGTTACTTTTTAAATTCCAGCAAGAAAAATAACTCTACTATTGCTCATTTGATAGTCTTGTGCCTCAAAGCCATCCTTTCTTTTCCATGGAAAACCATTCATTCAGGTCAGGAGACAGTACAGTGGGTGCCCAAGTTCAATCCCTGGCACTGGAGGGTCCACGTAACACATCCTGGGGCCCCTGCATGAACCACTTGGCAGAGTTGGTCAAATATAACTTGGAGCCCCCACTATTTCTAGAGACATTTTATTTTCTTTTTGGGTCACACCCAGTAATGCTCAGGGCTTACCCCTGGCTCTGCTCTCATAAATTACTCCTGGTGTTGCTTGGGGGACCATATGGGATGCTGGGATTGAAACTGGTCAGCCATGTGCAAGGCAAATGCCCTGCCTGCTTCGGCCCTCTAGCGACATTTTTACATGTTAGTGTTGTGTGTTTGTTAGTATTGTGTGACTATATGTCTAGATATACATACCTCTTTACTGGCAGAGTCTAAGATGCTAAGATATTGTGGATGATAAGAAATACCCTATTTTCGGTAGTACCACAAAGAAAAATATGCAGAAATTAAACAGTGCCAAACAATGAATTGTAAAATGAATTTTAAATACATTTAGAATGATTAAAATACAAGCTGTTCATGAATTCTTCTGGAGTGAACTGTCACCATGAGTACACATAAGAATACATCTGGGTGAAGTCATGAAATTTACATACAAGTGGTACTACATGGAAAGTATCATGCTAAGGGAAATGAATCAGAAAGAGAGGGACAGACATAGAAAGATTGCATTCATCTGGGGAATATAAAGTAACAAAATAGGAGACTAACACCCAAGAATAGCCGAGATAAATACCAGGAGGTTTACTCCATGGCTTGGAGGCCAGCCGCACACTCTAGGGGTAAAGGCAGCTCAGATAGAGAAGGGAGAACCAAATAAAGGGTGTTGGGAAGATCTGCCCAGGATGCATGCTGAAAGTAGACTATAAACTGAACATGATTGCCACTCAATTTCTCTTTTGCAAACCAAAGCCCCCAAAAGAAGAGAGAGAACAAAAGGGAGTGCCCTGCCACAGAGACAGAGTGGGATGGGGGGATGGGGTGTGGGAGGGATACTGGGATCAGTGTGGTGGAGAATGGGCACTGGTGGAGGGATAGGTACTCGATCATTGTATAACTGAAACCCAAGCACAAAAATTTGTGAATCTACAACTGTACATCATGGTGTTTCACTAATGAAAATTAATTAAATAAATAAAAATATTTTGAAGAAAAATTTAAAAAAAAAGAATACATCTGGGGCTGGAGTGATAGTACAGTGGATAAGGCACTTGCCTTGCAAGTAGCAGACCCGGGCTTGATCTTCGGCCTCCCATATGGTCCCCTGAGCGCTGTCAGGAGTAATTCTTGAGTGCAGAGCCAGGAGTAACCCCTGAACACTGCTGAGTGTGACCCAAAACAAACTAAAACTAAAAAGAACATATGAATGCCAGTGGAGGGCCGCTAATGAGGGCAATTTAACCAAGCAGCTCCCAATAATGCCTAGTCCTGAAATTCTTGCTCTATTGAGCTGCTACTGCCCATATGCCTGACTGTGACCACTGGCCTGGCTCAGTTCTCTAGGAACAAGGCTTCTGAGAGCAAGTAGGGCCAGTGTAGTGCTCTCCCACTCCACAACCAGGAGCACTGCCTGGCCCACTCCCAGCAGTGCCAGCTGTCCAGCCCACTGGGCCTCCATGGAACAGGTCACATCTAACTGATGCACAACTGCCCCACAAAGCCCATCCAGACATCCAGATCACAGATCTTTCTCCCTTTTTTTTTTTTTGCATTTTCATTACAGATCATAGAATCTTGAACACGAGTGATGACTGTTTTAAATCTTAAACTTACAGATTGTAGAATCTTGAACATAAGTGATGACTGTTTTAAGTCTTAAGCGTTGAGGTGAAGACACTGGCATATGCCCTTATAGTATTCTTGGCTTTGTTCCCTGAGACTGAGTGGTGGGGGAGGTAAAGGGTGCCGGGTCAAAGGGCTCTTTGGGGGAGACGGGAATTGTTGGGACGATGAGATTAGGACAGAGACCAGAGCAGAGGCCCTGGGAGCAAGCATGAATGGCAAATTGTAGCGATCTTTCTTAATTGGGTTTTTCTAGAAGCAGGTGTTAAGGCTGGGATTATGTGGAAGGGCTAGAAGGTGGGAAGTGACACAGACCTGGCAAAGCCGCCAATAATGAGTGTATTATCAAGCCAAAGTCACTGGGACAAACTGTTTTGATTCTTGTTTTGATCTGTTTGGGGGTCACACCTGGCAATGCTTAGAAGTTGTTCCAGGCTCTATACTCAGGAATTACTCTTGGCGGTGCTTGGGGGACCATATGAGATGCTGAGGATCAAACCCAGGTCGCATGCAAGGCAAGTACCCTAATTCACTGTACTATCTCTCCAGTCCTTTGTTTTTATGTTTGTTTTGTATTGCGGCCAAACTCGGTGATATTGTGGGTTTCCTCCTGCCTTTGTGCTCAGGAATCATTCCTTGGTGGGGCTCAGGTGAACTATATGGGATGCTGGGGATCAAACCCAGATTGGCTGTGTGCAAGACAAGTGTCCCACCTGCTGTACTATCCAGCCCCGACTGTGGTGAACTCTGTAGAGAGTCAAGAGAACCTCCACACTGCTGGAGGGGGAAGTGTCCCTGGCGTGGGGTGCGCCTCACTCTGTCCCAGGGTGGAGCGGCACGGGCAGGCCCAGCACCGAGTGTCGACCCCATGCCCACCCAGGCATGTTCATTCATCTGCCAGGCACTCCTCAGACAGACATGCCGCCTCCCCTGCACCAAGGCCTCAGAAATGGACAACAGTGCCAGTGCGAGTCCAAGAGGAATTTAATGGGGGGCCAGGCGGGAGGAGGGTTGTCTTCAGAACTAGACCGTGGTAGGACACGGGGCCGCTCCTTCCAGCGGCTCAGAGTCAGAGGCCTGCACGGTCCTGGGCAGGGTAGGGGGTGAGCTTCAGAGTGCTGGTGGGATGCTGTTTGGGGGGGTACCCTAAACAACGTCAAGGAACCACACCTGAGATTCCATGGGTGAAGAGCTGAGTTTGAGGAGGGAACCCCAACAGATCCCTGTGGGGGGAGGGATGTTTCTCAGAAACAACCAAGGGGCCTCGATTTCACAGAAACCATTAAGGGGCTCCTGGTGGGCAGGGGAAAGGGGGTACACTTTGCCCCAAATATTGGGGACTGTCTCCCCCTACAGCCATTTTGGGGTTTTAATGTAAGACCCCAGTGGCTGGACACTGCACATACATCATCATGGATCTGCAACAATAGCATACGCTGGCTGTCCTACGGGACGGTGGGGGACTGGAAAATCAGTCCAGGGTCTGGGTTCGAGTCCTAAGAGGACAGGCCGGGTGGGGCCACGCGGCTCCTCTTCAGTAGCTGCCGGAGCTGTGGACAGACAAGGTAGGGGAGAAGTGTGAGGGGTTGGGGCGGTGGGGATGCACACTCTTTGGAGTCTGGGGCTCAGAGATGGAAAGTGGAGGGCATGGGTTCAGAGCGCAGTTCTGGGCTGGGTGCTGAAGGTCTGGATTCACACATGGAGCAAAAGTCCCAGGGCCAGAACTGGGGTGGCAGGGAAAGGGGGTTCCCAGATTGGGGGTTAGTAATAGGGGGAAGGAGGGCAAGGGTAGAGGCCTGGGGCCAGAGGTCATATTTTGGAGGTCAGAAATCCTGTGAGGCCAGGGTTAGGGGCAGGAGGTCATGCTTGGGGATCAAAGATCACACCTGAGGGTCAGCATTCAGGGTTGGAATCAGTGGTCACACGTTTTGGGGGGCCTCCCAAGCAGTGTTCAGAAGGCCTGGGGCCCTGCCAGCCATTCTCAGACAACTGGGTGGTTCAATGCAAGGGCTTCAGAATGCAACAGTGCTCAGACCCGGCAGTGCTGGGGGCTCCCTGGGCCCCTCAGCAGTGCTCTGGGGCCTCCAGGACCCTACGAGAAATGTGGGGGAGCACACTATAGCAGGGATGGTCCCCAGGCCAACAGCATGCAAAGGTATGTGACTTAACCCCCACATCGTCTCCCTGTGAGAAGTAATTGTCAAGGCCAGGCTGGAAGCAGACGTCAGAAGCCACCATAATATGATAAGGGACCCAACAGTGAGGCCGCAGTGACATTTGGGCTTTGTTGTTCACACCACACCCAGCATGACTCTCAGTATAGTGCTCAGGATCAAACCCTCTGGCCAGCCCCTGAGGCGACACTGTGAAGTTAGGGTTAGAAGAAGTATCAAGGCTGCCTTTTGCTATTACAAATCACCCTCTAAAGCCAGAGATCGGGTAGGGCTGGAGAGATAGTACAGCACGCTGCTGACCTGGGTACCAAGGCCCACCAGGAGTGATCCCTGAGCACCGCTGGGTGTGGCCCCAGAACCAATAAAATAAAGCCAGGGGTGGGTGGGATCACAGAACACGGGGAGTTGGGGGGTGGGCTGGGGGACAGTGCTCACCCCTTCAGGGCCTGGCCCCGGCCGCAGCAGGTGGACTGGCTGCTCGTTCTCCAGGTTGCGCAGAGTGGGGTCTGCCCCCGCGGCCAGCAGGCGCCGCACGATGGCCTCCTGGGCTGGCCCGGGGGGCAGCGCAGCTGCCATGTGGAGCGCTGTGTTCCCATGGGCCTGGGGACAGCGAGAGGTGAGGAGAGTGCCCAGCAGGTGGGGCCCTGGGCCTTACACTGCCCACTCTGCCAGTCCTCGCCCCTTCGTGCCCTCCTTCCCATCCAGGAGCGCCTCCCGCCGCAACAACTGCACCCCGCTATGTTCTCCGCATCCTTCATGGACCCCGGGCCATGTCTTGGATGCTGTCCCCTCCCGACCACAGCCCACTGTCCTCAGTGCCCACCTTCATGTTGACAAAGGCCCGCAGGTCCCCCCGCGGCAGCTCCAGCAGCAGCTGAACCAGGGTTGGGTTGGCGGCCTGCACGGCCAAGTGCAGGACTGTCTTATTGCTCTTGATCTCCTGCAGGGAGAGGATGCAGCTGGGTCAGGCCCGGCTCACAGAGCCTGACCCAGCCCCTCCTGTGGTATCCCAGAGCCTTCCGCATCATTTCCTCTTTTGCCAGCAACCTGCAGGAGGCCTCATACAGCTGAGTTACTAAGAAAAGGATGGTATGGAGCATTCACATTCCTATGGGGGTGGGGGGAGGGAGACCAACTCGGAGGTGATTAGGGTTTGCTCCCAGCTCTGATTCCCTCCTTAATCTCTGTATGTATTCTCTTGCTCTGGCCAACTGTTCTTTCTTTCTTTCTTTTCTTTTTTTTTTTTGGCTTTTTGGGTCACCCGGCAATGTTCAGGTTAGCCCCGGTTCTGCACTCAGGAATCACTCCTGGTGTGTTCCAAGATCATATGGGATGCTGGGGAACAAACCCTGGTCAGCTGCCAACAAGGCAAATGCCCTACCCACTGTACTATTGCTCCACTCCCAACTGTTTGTTTTTTTTTCCCAACTGTTCATTTCTTAAGGGGAAATAACAGTGTCAAGGTGAAAAGGGTTCTCTTATCCTTTTAAAAACACCAGTATTGGGGATGGAGCGACAGTACAGTGGGTAGGGTGTTTGCCATGCACGCAGCTGACCAGGATTTAATCCCCGGCATCTCATATGGTCCCCTGAGAACCACCAGGAGTGATTCCTGTGTACAAAATCAGGAGTAAGCCCTGAGCACAGCTGGATGTGACCCCAAAACAAAAACAAAAAACAAATAAAGGAAAGTGCAGAAGGGATGGAGCAGGATAGGTGGCAGTGCTGGTCACTGATGGTGGGCTGTGGGGTTCATCATCCTAATTCTGCACTTGTTCTGGTTTCAGAATTCTCCAACAAAACACAGTACAAAAGATAAATAAGGGCAGGAGAGAGCGCAGAGCCAGGAGCAAACCCTGAGCACCACTGAGTTGTGGCCCCAAAACGAAGCTCAATTTAAGTGCGGAGAGCTGGATTCTGGAGGGCTTGGAATGGGACAGAGGCAGAGTACTTAGCCTTGCTTGGGTGGAGCCCTGGATTTGATCCCTAGCACTGCCAAAAAATAGAAAGAGTGGGGGCTGGAGGCATGATACCGCAGGAAGGTCCTGTCTTGCACACAGCTGACCTGGGTTCCATCTTCAGCATCCCATAGGGTCCCCTGAGCACCACTAGGAGTGAGTCCTGAGTGCAGAGCTAAGGGTAACCCCTGAGTACTGCTGGGTGAGACCCCCCACAAAAAAGTGGTGGCTGATTTCTAACTTTTATTCCATTCTTTGACACAACCACCAAATTTTGATTTTTAATTCCTTACACCTCATTTTATCAAATAATTGTTCTTTATGGATTTACTTTTGTGTGTGTGTGTGGGAGGGGAGTGGAGGCCAGACCCAGCTATGTATGGGCTTACTCTTTGCTCTGTGCTCAGCAATCACTCCTGGTGGTGCTCAGGGATTAATTTTGATCCTGGTGCCAGGATCAAACCCCATGTCGGTCACATGCAAGTTACGAGCCTTACCCACTGTACTATCTCTCTGATCCCTTTTTTCAACTTTTGGATGATAGCACACACATCAATAGGTGTAGAGAGGATTCGTGCTCGTCCCTAAGACTCAGAGCTTACTGAATGGGAAAGACCTATAAATATTCACTAGGACCAGGGAATATTATTTCCAGGTGACAGCAGGGCACAGGCAAATGCAAAATCAAGTTCCAGGTCCCACAGATAGGAAGAGGCAGAGTGAGCATGGCCCGCGGAGGTCCCAGCTGCCCGGCCCACCTGGCTGGTGTGGTCAGCTCCCATATGCAGCAACATCTGGACACAAGCTAGCCTGTCCCGGGCCTGAGGACTCAGCATCCGGGGACAGAGATCAGGCGGGTACATGGCAACGTTGAGGGCCAGGATGGCAGTGTGGAGGGGGGTAAGGCCTGCAGAAAGGGCACAGTGAGAGTGAGAGCACTGCCTCTGGAGCACCGAGCCTACCTCCCCATCAATCTCCCCAGCCACCACCCTACTTACCCTCAAAGTCTCTGGCTTCTAAGTCAACCCGGACCCCTGAATTGAACACGGCCTGGCAGAAAGAGAAGCGGAGAGCTAGACTTGGGTCTCCCCAGGGCCGCCGAGGCTTAGGGAGCAATATCCAGCCTCTGTCCACCCCATTCAGTCCAACTGTCAGGGGCCATACCGAGAGGACTCCTGGGAGCCCATAGGTGGCAGCCACGTGCAAGACGGACCGTCCCTGGTGGTCAGTGGCGTTGGGCTCAGCCCCCAGGTTCAGCAGATCCTCCACGATTAGGGGCTGGTTGGCAGCGGCAGCCACCAGGAGAGGGGTCTGCAGGGAGCAGGAAAGGTCAGTCCCAGCTTTCAATCCCTCCCCCTATGAATACCGGAACCCCAGGCCCCCACACCCCTTGTCCTCAAATCGAGGAGCCCAGGCGCCAGCCCTTACCTTGCCCTTATGCTCACGGACGTCCAGACGCCTGTACACTTGGAGCATCTCGGCCGCAGCGTAGGCGGCCCAGCGCAGCCCCCTCGCAGCCAACAGATGCAGGAGTCTGCAGACAGGTGGGGGGCAGCAGTGAGCACAGCCCAGTGGGGCCTGGAGCCCACAGACTCCGCTCCCCAATACTCACGTGTCTCCCTCTTCGTCCTGGGACAGAAGCTGTTGGGGCCCCAAAGCCAGCATGTGGGCACGGGCTGCATCCAGGGATGGGCCGGCCACCACAGGGGGCAGCTGGGGGGGTTCTGAGGGGAGCCCAGAACCTCTCCAGGATGCTGCCTGTGCCAAGGGGGGCTCTGCATAAAGCCGGGTATCCAGGGGGTCCTGAAGGGTGCAGGAGAGAGAGGACAGGCAGTGAGTGAAGAAGTCTCTCTTCCCGGTCCACTGCACACATCCAGAACGCTGAGTACTCATTCCCCCTGGGCCAGCAACCCTGGACTCTTGGACCTCAGTTTTCCCCCTCTGAGGAATGGGGTGAATGCTAGTCCAGACATCTCAGAATAAGGCATAGGAGTGATCAGATGTTGGGTATTAACCCCAAGTGTTCTAGTCTTCATCAGTGTATTGTCCCTTTTCCTTCCCCCTCTTATGAGGTCTTCTAATCCCCCCCCCCTTTCCTTTGTGCTTTACCTTTTCTTCCGTTAGCTACTACAATCCCCAAGTCAGGCTTGGTTACTTATAAAACCAAACCTTCTGGTGACTCTGGATTGTGTATCTGTAGTGAATTATTTGCTTTTTCTCTTCCCCTGTAACCTTTTCATATTTTACTATAGAACAAAGTTCTTTGCTTAAACACAGTAAGACCGTTAATGCTATGCTCCTAATATTTGGGAGTTAATTGACTCTGCAATATATTTACTCTTAGGCATCCATCATAATTACTGGACTCAGGATTCACTTGCCATAGTTCCTAACACCCCAAAAAAGCTCGGTTCCCCACCCTGAGGGATCTGTGGGTGGATCTGGGGCAAGCAGCAAAGCTACCCTGGCTTCCATATGGGACAGTCTAAAAATCATGAAGCACAATCTTGATAAAAGCCATAATGACCTAAAAGACAGGACCCCATAGGGTAGAAAAAGCTAAATTGATCTTAAGACTTAGCCGTAAAAGCCCAGCTGGCTTTTTTCCCCCCTTGTTTTGCTTTTTGGGTCACACCCAGCAATGCTCAGGGGTTACACCTGGCTCTGCACTCAGAAATTACTCCTGGTGGTGCTTGGGGGACCATAAAAGATGTCGGGGATTGAACCTGGGTTGGCCATGTGCAAGGCAAACGCCCTACCCACTGTACTATCACTCTGGGCACGCCTCCCCCCCCCCCAAGCTGGCTTATAACCTCAGCTCCCAGAGCCCAGAGAACAAAGTTTCAGAATCTTTATTTCTTACTGTGTTTACCCAAATAACTACAAATATTAATAAGAAGTAAACTTGTTTAATATGTACTAGCAGCAAGGGAAAGAAAAAAGCAATATAGATGGAATACCGCCCCTAGGCAGATTTCTCACATAGACCATCTCCTTAAGTTAATCCCCCCAAAAGAATTACCTCCATTGAAACACTTTACCTTTCTAAATGATCAATTACACCTACCTGCACTTCTGTACCTTGGGCCTCCTCAGATTATAACAGGCTATTTGGTCCTGAATTAAACTGTCCATGGACCATCATCCTTGGTCCCCATCTCTTTGTTCCTCTGGGGAGGCGGCTCTCGGCCACCAAATGCATCATACCAAGGGACCCCCCCCCATTCACTTTTCCTCCCAACCAGACATTTTACGGGCCCATCTGCATCCATTTTCCTCCATAGCTCACCTCCATCCCGGGGGAGAATGGACAGGGCCGCCCTGGGACTGAGCTGGGGTAGAACTCTGGTGTCGGGAAAACTTCAGCCGCAGAAGCCGGGTAGGAGAAGGAGCTGTCTGTGTAGACTGCATGTGTACTGGGGTCCCAGTCTGGAAAAGTCGTGGGGGGTGCCAGGCTGACAGGTGTGGAACCCACTGCCTCGGGTTGCGGTGGGAAGTGAGGATGACCTGTGTGAGAGGGGGAGCCAAGGCAGGTGGGGTTAGGGGAGTCAGAGAAGATGCAGCTACAGCCTGAGGGCAGAACCCGCCTTCCCACGGCAGAAAGGGGAAGAGCCAAGGGCCCTGGAGCCTTGAAAGGTTGGGACCCAATTACAGACTCTATGCTCCTGAGAATTTGGGGCTCACACTGTTACTGGGTACCAACAAGAACAGCAGCTGTCTCTTCAGATGCCCAAAGTTCTAAGAGTTGGGACGAATTGCAGAGAAGGAAACGGGTACACACAGACTTACCAGGCTCCCTGGCACTCACAGAGGGGGTCAGAGACTGAGTTGCAGGGGGTGGGAACTGGCCCTGGAGAGAGGAGCAAGAAGGGAAGGGGCTGAGTCCTTCTGTTTTGGGGTCACACATTGGAGAATGCTCGGGTGTTAGTCCTGGCTCTGCACTCAGGAATCACTCCTGGAGGTGCTCAGGGGACCATCTTGGATACTAGGGATCGAACCCAGTTCCGCTGCATGCAAAGCAAGCAAGCGCCTTACTGGCTGTACTATCTCTCCAGCCCAAGAACTGAGATTTTTTTATTCCTCTGGAGCTGTTCCCACCCATAGTGCCCCTCAGGGTCTCAACAGCCCTGTCTGCAAGCAGGACCCTCTGTCCAGGGCCTGCCCAGCCTGCCTCAGAGCAGTGGAGTGGCCAGGGTTAGGAGAAGGGGGCCCACCTGCACCCCACTGGTGTCAGGCTGCTGCTGGCGGCGCCTCTGTTCTTCCAGGAGCTTCTTCACGGTCTGTGACGGGCAGTGACTGCGGTCACCCCGGCCCACTGCAGAGGGGAGGTGGGAAGAAAGTCATCAGGGGCCCGAGTCACCAGAACATGCTGGGGGAGGGGGGCAGTTCTGGGCAGCCCAACCGCGCTTCCAGCACTCTCCCGCGCGGAAAAAAGTAGCACACAGAAGTCGCTGATAACTCCAAAGCCAGCCTGAGATTTCGGGTGAGTCGCCCGCCTCCGCCGTTTCCTTTCCTTTGCTCTGCTCTACACTTTCCCCTCAGACTCAATTTTCCAGCAGCGTGGTGGAAACTGAGGAAGGGGGAGGAGGGTGCCCCACTGCATTTCCACCCTCCCCACTTCCGTAGAAACTCCCACATCCCCCCAAGCCAACCCCCCCCTCCGGCTCCGAGGCCAGCTCGGTGGTCGCGGGACCACACTCCGGAACGCACGTCCAGGTTCCCACCCTGCCTGGTCTTGGAAGCGGATCTGATAATCCGGAGTCCGGGTGCGGAGTCCCGGATCCCCACAGTTCCCTAGCACCTCCATATCCCACAGGTCCAGATCCCGCAACTGCGTCGGACCCAAGACCCAAGCCCCCATTGCGCTGGAGTCGGGGTTTTCGCAACCCTAAGATGCAGGCACTCAGGCCCTGGGAGGTCCAGTTTCCCTCGCCGGGTTCGCACGACCCACAAGGGCCCCAGCCTCCCCTCTAACGCATCCGCCGCGGAGCCTCGGCTCCGGCCCGGTAAGGGTTAAGGGGGCGGGGCGGGAGGGGCGGGGCTGCGGCTCGGAAACTATCCAACCGCGGCGCGTGACGTCACGGCGCCGGCGCAGGGGAATCTTCCATCCCGGCTCTCGGCGGCCGCCCGCGCGCAGGTGTCTGGCTGCGGGGCGGGGCGCGCGGCCGAGCGTGGCGCTCGCGGAATCCCCGCACGTGGGGAATTCCTGCTCGGCGGGGGCACGGGGGCGGGAGAGGACCCTGGATCGGGGCGACTCGGGAAATCCCGGCGCGGGGGCGAGGTCCGGGCCGGAGTGGGGCCAGACCTGACGCTCGGGGTCATGAAACTGGTTTTCAACCCTCACACCTCCATGGGTTCAATCCAGCCCCTCTTTCTGGGGCAGAGTTCGGGCCGCCAGGGATCCCCTCCACCAACTTACAGAACCCCTCCCCCCCCCACACACACACATCAACTTCTCGACAGGACGGGAGTGCGGGATTCTACGGGACCCACGATCCCAGATTCCCAATCTCCTGCACCCTAAAGTCCAGATTCTTATAGGACCCTTCACGACCCGAGAATCTGGGACCCATTTTGCTCCTCCAAACCGATACCTTCACTCTGGACCCAGGACCCAGGACCTCACCTCAGAGTCCCACGCGCAGTCCTCCCGGCCCCGAACCCCAGTCTAAAGGAGTCGAGCACCTCCCCACCCTCCCCCGTTACCTCTGGGGTTCCGTGGCGCGGATTGCGGGCCCCCAGGGCCCCGGCCTCGGCGCTGCGCCAGCCTCGCTGTTTCCCCGCGGAGCCGCCGCCGGGTCCCCCAGTTTTGGGGCTGACGTCCCGCGAGTTTTTAAACTGGTGTTTTGGCACCGCCCAGTCTTGGGCTGAGCCCCACCCCCAGTCCTTGGGACTCCCCGCGTCATGCTCCAGCGAAGCCTGCTCTGAATGGGCGGGGCGGACTTTGAGATACCGGGGCTCCCCGCTTTGGTGGGCTGGAAATGGGGCTTGGGGTAGTCGACAACTGGAGAACTTCAGGAACCTGGACTTTAAGGGGTGCTGGGTTGCCAGATCCTGGGCCAAGGCGTTCTTTATTACTGGGTCCAGGGGGGAAAGGGGCCCCAAAATTCCTGACTTCCAGGTAGGAAAGGTCATTGGGTAAAAATGACACCAGTTTCTCCCCTACTCTCTTCTTTTTCAGAGGTTATGCTCAAAATACTCATTCATTAAAAATCATTTAGTGGGATGACTGGAGCAATAGTACAGCAGGTAGGGTATTTGCCTTGCATGGGGCCCACCCAGATTCGATCCCTGGCACTCCATATGGTCGTTGGAGCCCTGCCAAGAGTAATTCCTGAGTACAGAGTCAGGAGTAAGCCCTGAACATCGCCAAGTGTGCCCCCAAAACAAAACCAACAAACAAAAAAATCTTTGACTGGGCCTTGAGGTGGTATAGCCCGAAGGCACTAGCCCTGCACGCTGAAGACCAGGATTCTTACCAGCACAGCCTTTGGTTCCCTGAGCCCCACCAGGAGTGACCCCTGAGCACAGAGCCAGGGGTAAGGTCAGAGCACAGCTGGGTGTGGCGCCAATCCTCCAACCCAATTCCATAAATATTTTATGCTTATGTGTGAGACTCTGGGTTTAATCCCCGGCGGCATAGACACACACACACACACACACACACACACACACACACACACACACACACTATGGGTGGAGAGATAGTATAGCATAGTGGGTAAGGCTCTTGCCTTACATGTGGCTGTCCTGGGTTTATTCCCTGGCGCTACATATGTTCTCTTAAGTACTACCATGAGTGAACCCTGGGCAAAGAGCCTTGAACACCAGTGTCTGTGGTCCCCAAATAAAAACAAAACAACAATAATAATAATAAATAACAGTTTACACTGCAGGGATGGGGCCTGTAGGCCTGTGAACTAAGCAGGCAGGAATTCCCCTTCTCTTTGCCCCTGACACGGCAGTGGGCGGCTGGCACTCCAATGCCATCTTGCGGCCCCTTGGCAGCACTGACCTATTCATCAAGTTCTGCCTGCTAGCAGACTCCAGCCCTCCTGGCGTCTCTCCAACCCTCCTGTTCCCTCTCCCTTTGCCTGGCTGCTTCTTCCTCTTCACCCACATTTGGTGTGGGGGTGAGGGGGGGGCTTCTCTGTCTGTGCTCACTTCCTTGGTGAGCTCATCCAGTCTTGTGGCTTTTAAATACTCTCCATAAGCCATCGGCCCCCACATTTCTATCTCCAGACCGGACTAATCTGAACTCATAGAGGCAGCTGTGGTCATGGACTTCCCCGCAGGGAGATGGAGCAGGCGCTTCCAACGCCTGTGGCCCAAACCTCAGCGCTTTCTCCAGAACCTGCCCGCCTCCTTCCATCCGGCCCCCTCCTTCATCCTGCCCCTCGCCCCCCCTTTCAGCTGCTCTGGCCAGAAGCTTCCACCAGCCTGAATCCTGCTCACACACACCCACATCTGCTTGTTTGCTGCTTCTGGTCCTGACTCTCCCTCCAGGATCTTTGCAGGACCCTCCCCCGGTTTTCCTGCCACCTCCCAGCTGGACACCCACAGCAGCCCTGCCCCCCCCCCTGATTCTTCTGCAATTGTGTCCCCCAAAGGCATGCCCAGGGGCTTACCAGCTCTCTCATTCCCTCCCCCTCATACAGGAAGCAGCCAAGGCCACATCCGGTCTTGCTACCTCTTTGTACCCCACTTGTTACTTAGACTTCTCTGGAACAAAGGCCTTCTGGAGACCCCTCTCTGCCCCCTGCCACCATGGTCCTGCCAGGTGATCTCTTGTTCCTGCTTTTGCTCCCAGGTGAAATCAAGGGCTCTGGGGGCGTGGGGGTGGGTGGCAAATGGCATCTGGGAGAAGGGTGGCCTGCTGGGTGACCTCTGTGGGACAGCACTGCATGACCCACCCCCAGCCTTTCCTTCCCGGGATCCATCAGCTTTGGGGGCCTCGTTTTGGGGGGAGGGACTCTGAATTTTCCAGGGGCTGCCTGTTCATCGCGCCTTCTTGCGGCTGTCTCTACTTCTGCTTTTCTGGCTGTGTGTCTGGAGGGACCTCCCCTTCCCATCTGCACCCCACCCTTACTTGAGCTCTCCGAAAGCAGGGTGTGTTTCTCAGGACATCACTTTTTCCTTCATCTGACTGGGAAGCCGTCTCCCCCTCCCCCCACCTCCTGCTAATGCACTTTCCTCGCTCTCTCCACAGTGGTCGCAGCTCAGATGGCTGAAGGTGAGGTGTCCCCCATTCCTCCTCCTCTGCCCGCGCCCTGCCCCCCCCCCAGCAGCTCTCCGGATCCCCCTCCCTCCCGCCTTATGACCAAGTGGTGCCCCAGCCTCTCCTGAGGAGACCCCAGCACACCTGCAGCCCAGCGGCTGGCTGCAGACCCCTCAGCCCCCTCTCCCTGTGCCCCCAGGCTCCTGTTCTGGGTGTGGGCCCCTCTCCCTGTCGCTCCTGGCAGGCCTGGTGGCCGCAGACGCTGCTGTGTCTTTGCTCATAGTGGTGGGAGTATTTGCATGTTTTCGCCCACGCCACCAGCCCCCGCAAGGTGAGGGCAGGGGTGAATCAGGGCCCCAAGGGATGGGGTCCCTGGGGAGGGAGCCCCGGGGGAAGCCCTGGAGGGGGGGCCTGGGGAACTCCTGAGGAAAGCCCTGACTTGGGGGTTCCCCTGGAGTGGGGGTGTAGGTGGTCAGGCCTGAGAGCCCAGGCCTCAGGCTTTCTCTTCTCCACCCAGAAGATGGCAAAATCTACATCAACATGCCTGGCAGGGGCTGACCCTGAAACTGCAGCCTTTCACCCCTGACCTCTCCTCCCCGGGTTTGAGAAGCATAAGAAACCCAGTCAAATAATAAAGGAATTGGAATTCTTCTAATTGTAATTCTCCTTTCAGTAACTTCTCCCCAGAGCCCAGGGAGATAGTACCAGGGCCTGCTGGACCCTGGTTCAATCCTTGGCACCACATGCCCTGTACCCAGCGTCACTGGGTACAGCCCTGGAGAGTCCTGAGAGCTACAGGGTATGAGCCAGACCTCATCCTGGGGCCCTCATATTGAGCTGTCTAGCTTAGTTGGTGGAGTACCCTAAGAGTGGGTCCTGGGCTATTTGGGGGCTCCCTCCCAACCCCACCAAAGAATAAACAAAAGAACCCTTCCCCCAAACCTCCCACCCACTTAGCTATTTCTGGATCTATGACATAGACATCTACCCCATCCCACCCCCAAAACCCAAATCTAGCCCAAGGTCAGGGAGAAACAGTGAGTTCGTGTTCCATGTTTATTTGGGGACAGTGCCAGGAGGGGTCTAAGGAAGGCACTTAGAGTGTTGCATCTTTGCAAAGTGACTCAGGAAGGCACTTTGTGCATTGCATCTTTGGGCATAAGAACAGTGGCGGGCTGGAGAGTTAGTACAATGGGTAGAGCTCTTGCTTGCACATGGCTGACCCAGGTTTGATCCCAGGCACTGCATATGGTCCCTGAGCACACAGCCAGGAATAAACCCTGAGCACTGCTAGGTGTGGTGGAAAAAAAAAAAAAGGAGCAAGGGCGTAGACTTCAGGAATGGCTGTATCAGGCTGTCAACTGCAGGCTTTGGGCTCATTTGTAATATGGCCTCTGTGTGTTGAGGTCGCTGTAGACGTCTGACCTTTGGCCTTGGAGCTCCTAAAGGTATGAGAGGCAGCATGGACAGGATGGGGGACTGTCCGTGGACAAGTCCTCCCAATAACTTTCACACATACACATGCACGCACACACACACATACACACACACACACTCACACACATACACAGAATAAACAAAAGGACCCCTCTCCCAAACCTCCCACCCATTTAGCTATTTCTGGATCTGTGACATAATCACCTACCCCATTGCACTCCCAGAACCCAACTCTAGACCAGGTTCAGAGAGAAACCGTGAGTTTGTATATAATCACTGCAGGGCCCTGGTGTGCTGTCAGCTGGAAGGGCCCGGCCCTCAGTGCTCCCCTTTCTCTTGCTTAATCTCCCATCTGCCCCAGCTCAGGCCCTTTGCAGGAGCTACTGTTGTCTGTGCCCTGTGTTCTTCCCACGGGCAGGTCCTCTCTCCCTAGTCTCTAGCTGGTTGGTTTCTCCTGCTCCAGTTCCCACCTCGGGATCGCTGTCACCTCCCATTTGCTGCCTTTATTTCCTGCAGGGGCCTCTCCGTTTGTTCTTGTGCTCCAAGTCTATTGCCTCAACACTACCACTAGCTCTGCTGTGTGTCCCCAGCCTTGAGTCCATTAACACAAGACACAGATCCATCAGGGGCAACGTTTGGTCCTAAAATCTCATTGCTCTTGGGGCCAGAGCAATAGTACAGCAGGCAGGGAGTTTGCCTTGCATGTGGCTTCTGGCGTTCGATTCCCGAATCCCATCTGATCTCCCAAGCACCACTAAGAGTGATACCTGAGCACAGAGCCAGGAGTAACCCTGAGCCTTGCTGGTGTGGCTCAAATCCCCCCTGAAAAATTAAATTAAAGTTTAAAATATCTAATTTCCCTCAGAACTGGTAAACCCCTTCAGTTTTTCACACCTCCCAGGGCCCAATGCCAAAATCTGAGACTCTACAAAGGGGCATTTTAGGCATCAGGCAGGTAAAGCAGCGCTGACTATGGGAAAGTATTAAAACAGACTTCAGAGCTGAGGTTCTATGACATCAAGGGCGGGATCCCTGAAATCAGAGGCATAGGGCTGGGGCAGCATCTTTGCATCTTCCTGGGGAACAGTCTGTCTGGCTTCCATTCAGGGAAACCCATGGTCCCCTAAAGGGTTAAGGGCAGTGGCTTTGGCGGCAGCACCCTCTGCCCTCTGCCCTGTGTTCCTTGTAAAGGATTTCAAAAATACTTCCTCACACCATGCCCTGGATTAGATGCACAACTGTGAATTTGGGGCAAGCTTTTCTGGGAAATTTCTAATTTTTGTCCAGCTTCTGCAAGGCATTTCGGACCTCTGACCACAGATTCTAGGAAGTAGACTGATTTATTTTTTCTGACCTATGACAACTCCCACTGAAAACATCCTGGCAGCCCGGATAGACTCCAGTCATATGAAGCCCAACTTAGTCATGCCAAAGGCTGAGTGCCCCCCGCTCCACACATACCGAACTGCCATTAATGATGAAAGATCAAAGAGAATGTGGACAGGTCGGTCCCATTAGTCTCTAAGGGCTTGGGATGACACTGAGGAGGCAACTTGAGGGTCTCAGTTCTGGGGTGGACTGGTGGATGTTTAGTACAGAGACCCCCCTCCCCCCACACCGCACCAGGGCCCAAGAGTGTGAGAAAAGGAAGCCAATTTTCTCACCTGATATGGTGACTCTGTCTCAACCATGCGCTGTTTCCGGGACACTGTGTGTGAGGGGGGTCAGGGATAGGAGGCGGGGAGAAGAAGAAGGGGGCAAAGACAGACAAGGTGGGGAAATTGAGACCAGTTCTTGGGTGCAGAACTAGCCCCTCTGAATGACTGTTGCCCAGGACCCCGCCCCTCCCTGCCAAGCCAGGCCTGTGTTTCAGGTCAGGGTCTGGCCCCTGCACTCACCCTCTGTGTTCCCTCGGCCCCGAGGAACCAGCCGGCCCAGGGCATACACAGCCAGCGCAATGAGGAGTGTCAGCACCAGGTCACCCAGCACAATCCCTGCCAGCACCCCAGGGCTCAAGGTGGAGCAGTTGCATCCTGGGAAGGGGGCCGGAGGTAAGGGAGGGTGGAGGGCATTGGGGGATGGGAGGAGGGGTCAGCCGGGGGAGGTTTGGAGAGACTCGGCAAGGCATGGACGTGGGGGGCTCTGAGAGGTGGGGGAGCACCCTATGTCAACTTACCTTTCTGGGCCTGGACAGGGTTGATGTCTGAGAAGAGAAAAATAAGGTAAACTGAGGCATGCGGCTTAAACTTAGGGTGGGGGGCTCTAGAAACTGGGGAAGTGGGTCTGAAAGCAGCAAGAGATGACGGTCCAGCATGACCTTCGGGCTGGGATCCAGGCTGCAAAGCCCCGGACTATGGTACTACGCAATAGACTGGGGAGTGACACCCCTAGACTCGACCTCCTCCTGCTTTGACCAAAGGCTTAATTGTGAGGCCTCTGGATGGGGCGAGGCCCAAAGGCTTGGGAACAAGGGGGTATTTGTTCTTGTTCCAACCTTCCCCCAACTTGGGTGCTCTTACTTTCCTGCTCTCTGCTGGCCCCAAGCTGAGCCCAAAGGTTCAGCCTGCAGCTGCAGAAGTGCGCCCCCACCCCCCACTCACCGACCAAAGTCAGAAGAAGCGGCAGAAGCAAGAGCGTCTTGGAGGGTCCAAGACCCCTCATGATGCAGGTGGTGTGGCCTGAGGGTCAGCGGGATGTGGTGTAGCCTCCAAGCAAGTGAAGGAGGAAGTCAGTGGTGGGTGGTGGCAGGAGGGGAGGAGGAGACAGTGGGGAGGGAAGAGACAGATTAAAAAATTGGCCCAGACACCCTGGGTCTAGGCTGCGGCCTTTAAGGTCTATATAGGAAAGGCAAAGGGCTCAGAAGTCAACTCAAAGTTCATCCCCAGCTAGGGGTCAGTCTTCGCTGTCCCACGAAGGTCAGTGTCTGACTGGGCTGAAGCCGGCTCTGTCTCTTCCCATCTGGGTGGGCCACCTCGAGCAAGTCACTTGGTGTCTCTGGCTCTCAGCTCTGGAGTCTGTACAATGGAGAGAGAAATCAAACCTATTTCCTAAAGTATTGGAGGAGTCAAATGAATGAATATTTCTTTATTGTTTGGCCTGGGCTACACCCAGCAGTGCTCCGAGCTTACTCCTGGTTCTGTGTTCAGGCAGCACGCCTGGTGGGCTTAGGGGACCATACAGGGTGCTGAGGATCGAACCTGGGATGACTGTGGGAAAGGCAAGCACTCCACCTGCTCCAGTCCCTGAAAGAATATCTCTCGAACGGGATCTGATACTTGTCAACTTTCCCAACACACCGTTTGTGGTGGTTTCTTTGCCAGACCCTGATGACTTTACAGGCTCTCAAAAGAGCCATCGGGACCCGAGCACGAGTGACCTGCAGGCACTGTCCCACATGTCCACTCAGTTAACTCCCACCACACCCTTTGAGACTGCGGGCATCCCTCATTTTCCAGAAGCATAAAGACCCTTGCCTATAGCCTCGCAGCTATAAGGGGGAGGGGGGCTGGGAATGCACCCCAACCCAACCAAAATGAAAAGATGGGCCAGGATGATACAGGCAGACCCGACAGAAGAGGGAGGACAGCAGACACAGTCCAGAGACAGGGGGGATGGAGGGCATGGGGACACCAAGGTGACTATGACTGGGATGGGTGGGGCTGGCCCTGCGAATGAGGAAGTGCCTGGAAGTGAAGACACTGTGAGGCCAGGAGGCAACCAGAGCCTTCAGGGCACCAGCTGAGGCCTGTGCAGAGACTGGACAAGGAGGAACCTGAGGTTAAGGCCCTGGGGGCTGGGCCAGCAACAGGAAGGCCCCCTCCTACATGCAGGCCTCCCCCTCACCCCTGCCCCTACTCATGCTCAAGAGAGAAAAGGGGAACCTGGCTGGTGCTGAGGCTGAGTGACCTGTCGGAGTGTAACTGGGGAGACAGATAGCATTGGCTAAAAGAGTTGCCGTTGCCTGGCCTGGCTCAGTCCTGCCGCTAAAGAGCCAACAGGGTCTCCCATGCCACCAGGCCCCAGTGACCATGAGGGCACACCCAGCATGAGGAGCCCAGGGCCAGGGCTCAGGGGCTGAAGAGACCCTGAACCAGGGACCCCTGAGCTAACCGAGGTGCTCAGGGGTTTTCCTGGACTGCGACAGAGGGACAGCGGCCACAACGGCACCGCTTGTTGTGAGGGTTTCCGGAGGCCTGTGAGGGAGTGGTGGCTTCACAGTCAGGGTCACTGTTATTGTTCTTAGTCCTTAAATCCTCCCTCTGGGCTGTAGGCTCAGTCTCCCCTTCTAAGAATCCTAACTCCCGGGGCTGGAGCAATAATACAGTGGGTAGGGCATTTGCCTTGCACGCAGCAGACCCGGGTTCGATTCCCAGCATCCCATTTGGTCCCCTGAGCACCGCCAGAAGTAATTCCTGAGTGCAGAGCCAGGAATAAACCCTGAGCATCACAGGGTATGACCCAAAAAGAAGAAAAAAAAAAGAATCTCGACTCCCGCCAAGTCTCATGGCCCTCAGAAGTCAGTCTAACTAACAGCAGCTTCCCAGGCCCCGTCCAATCAGTACAGTGGAGGCCAAAGGATGAGGGCAGACCTCAAGGCCCCTCTTTAGAACCCAAGATGTGGAGAAACCCCAGGGTGTCCCAGCAGACTGCAGCAGTGGCAGGCAAGTGGAGGAGTGCGGTTCAGATGGCCCAGAAGGAGGACCTCCACATTTCAGCCCAAGTCCCAGAGCAGGGCACACAGCCTGCCAACCTGGGCTGGTCTCCACCCCACAGATGCATGCGTTGCCCTGTACTGGGGGGAAAGTGGCTGAGACCGGCAATGAATGCCAGGCTCCAGCAAACAAACGCGGCTGCCCACAGCCCCTCGTGTAGAAAGTGTCTTGGACTGTCTGGGCAGCAGCTAAGAGCAAAGGAGGCCAAAGCTGACTTTCCCAGAGACCAGGCACCAGGATAGCCCGTGGCAGACTCTCCTCTGTGAAGGACAGGCCTCCTTCCTCTTTCCACATTTGTCCCCTGCTGCTTTCCCTAAGCACCACAGCTGAGGATTCTTTTGTTCAGACCAAGAAATCAATTTTTAAAAATCAGCGACAGCACTCACCAGATACTTTACACACAAAGAGCTATGAATGGCCAATAAGCATGTGCAAAAGCACGCTTCATGCAGTTAGTCATTAGGGAAACAGCTCGAAATAACAATGCGACACCACCAGCAGCTTCCAGAAGACGCAGTTGAAAGCATGACCTTTGTTGGGCTGGGAGACAGCGCAAAGGACTGGCGGGTATGCCTGGCATGCAGGAGCCCCAGGTTTGATTCCCAGCCCAGGGTTCAATCCCACACCCCAAATTTAATCCTGAGAGTGGGACCTCCAATGGCATGCTGGCAGAAGCTCCCAAGCACCACCAGGGTGGCCCCAACATAAAACAAAGTCCAGAAAGACAGGCCTGATTGTCAAGAATCAGCAGAGAGGGGCTGGAGCAATAGCACAGCGGGTAGGGTGTTTTCCTTGCACGCAGCCAACCCAGGTTCGATTCCCAGCATCCCATATGGTCCCCTGAGCACCGCCAGGGGCAATTCCTGAGTGCAGAGCCAGGAGTAGCCCCTGTGCATCGCCGGGTGTGACCCAAAAACCAAAAAAAGAAAAAAAAAGAAAAGAATTAGCAGAGAGACGGTGCGGCTGAAAATCTCCAGCCACAACTAGTGGATGCTTGGAAGGAGCCTCTATTTAGGAGTAGAGGATGGCATCTTCCTGTAAAGTTAAACATTCACCTACCCCGAGATCCAGCAATTCCACAGAAGGTAGTATCGTCCTGAGGGAAACGACTGCTCAAGCAAATTCTCGGCTCAAATGTTACATCTTCGCAGAAGCTCCCGGTTCCCACCACTGCCACAGTCCCCTCTCACCACCAAGTTCAATTTCTTTCTGTGTTTATCACCACTAAGATCCTCTGAGTTCTGTGTGCGCATTTCTACTGGCCACTTCCTGTAGAATTGAAACTCCATGACAATGGGAGACTTTCTGTCTCCACAGCTGTTATTACCCCAGAACAGAGTAGATGCCTAATCACTGTACTTTGGGCTTTAAACTGGATGGTCACCAATGGTAGCAGGTTAATGAAACACGACAGAGGCTTAAGGGTATCTCAGATATACTGCTATTTTTTTTTGGGGGGGGAGGGTCACACTTGGCAATGATCAGGTATTCTCCTGGCTCTGCATTCAGAAATCACTTCTGACAATGCTGGGGGGGTGGGGGGGACCATGTAGGGTGCTAGGGATCGAACTCAGGTCAGCTGCATACAAAGCATGACTCTCTCCGCTATACTAGAGCATCAGCCCCTGCTAATTCTTTTAAATTGCTCACTTGGAAGATAAGAAGCTTTTACCCGCCAAGCATCCTCTTGCTGCTTTTTCCACAGGATTTTCATGGGATTTTTTTCAGCAGGGTGATAAAGGGCATTCAAGACTGTATTTTCCATCTCATTTGCATCAGAATGGCCACACTCTGGCTATTGGGCAGCGGGGAAGTGAAGTGGACAATGTTCAGGTCAGGGCCTGTGTGAAAGGGTGTCCTCAGTTCCTCTTCAGTTTCTCCCTTGCTGGAGCTTGAGTGTTGGGAGGGGTCATCTTGGCACAAACGGGTGAGGGCAATGGGAAACGAAAGATCGCCAAGCTCGAGGGAGGTCGCATGCCCAGAATCCTGAAGGAGACCCAGGAGCTCTGGACCAGTGAGAAATGCTGCACGTATTCCCTCTGACTGTCCTCTCCAGGGTCCCTCCTGACCTCGGGAACTCCCCCACCTGCCTTCGGTGTGCAAGAGAGAGCCAGGGATGCAGGAGGCTGGGAGCAGTCCTCTAACCATACCGGATTGGTGGCTAAACAACCCAGCTCCTTTGGATGAAATCACTCTTGGTTTCTAGACGTGTCCTAGAACTCCCCCAACAAAATAAAGAGCCACTGTCTCTAGGAATTCCTTCTCTGTCTCACTTCCCCATTCCCCACTGGCTTCCCTGAACTTCCCAGGCCAAGGACTTGGGGCCTGCTTGGATGAGACTTCGCACTGGGAAAAAAGGGAGCAGGTGTGGCCTGGGATCATCAGTATGACTTCTCCATTCTTAATTTTTTTTTTTTTTGCAGGGGCCGCATCTATCTGTACTCAGGGCTTACTCCCACTTCTGCATTCAGGAGTCTTTTCTCGCAGGGTTCGGGGAACCATTTGAAGTGCTGGGAATCGGGGCCTAGAGCAATAGCACAGCGGGTAGGGCATTTGCCTTGCACGCGGCCAACCCAGGTTCAATTTCCAGCATCCCATATAGTCCCCTGTATGATTTCAGCATCGCCAGGGGCAATTCCTGACTGCAGAGCCAGGAGTAACCCCTGTGCATCGCCAGGTGTGACCCAAAAAACAAAACAAAAAAAAATGAAGTGCTGGGAATCAAACATGTGTTGGTCTTGTGCAAGGCAAGTCCCCTTCATCCTTACCTCCTCTTCAAAGAACCTGGAGTTCCCAGGGTTTGTGTGTGCATGGTATACACCACACCTCTCCTCTGGCTCCGGCCAGTAAACCAGTGTTATACCTGATCGATCTGTAGCAATCAGGGCGCTTAGTTCCAGACAGTAGAAGTCAACTGGAACTAATTTCACCAGAAAGAAGGGGATGTGCTCAAGGTTGTTATCAGACCACTGACACCCTCAGAGGACCAGGGAATCAGTCCTCAGATTGTACCAATCCTCAATCATCCAGGACTTTGGTAAAGATTTCTATTGTTCATATCAGAACTGATTTTTCTGTTTGTCTCCCTCTCTGCACTCCCTTCCCAATCAAATTCTGATAGGAACCCCAGAATATTTACAGGTGAAATACAAAAATACAATCTCTATCTGGAGCTCTAACTACAAAAGCATAGGAAAAGAAGAGGGAGAGGTTGGGGCATTGTTAAATCACTGAGCGCTCCTCATACTCTTCTCTCTGCTTCTCTGTATTTTCTTCTTTGTTTTGTTTTTGGGCCACATTCAACAATTCTCAGGGGTTTCTCCTGGCCCTGCACTTAGAAATTAATCTGGTGGTGCTCAGGAGACCATATGGGATGTCGGAAACCGAACCCAGGTCAGCCGCATGCAAGGCAAGGGCCCTACCCACTGTACTATATCTCTACGGTCCTACTTTTCTGTACTTTCAAATTTCTTCAAAATAGTTAAGAAAAAAAAAACAGTTTGGATGTGCTTAATTGGCAGAGTACAGAAAAATGCCTCTCCTATAGCTAAAAGGAATGCTGAGAAAGTAGTTTTCTGATTTCTAGATTCAGGAGGTTGAATTTTTAAGATAGGAAATGCCTAAAATACAAAGCTGACATTCAAAACGTTCTAATCTTCCACGGAGGGAGAATGAGAAACGTCCACAGCACCAGTAGGGCTATCTGTGGGGTTTGTATGACTCTTCTTAGACCAGATAATAATGTTATTCGTTGACAATGTAAAATGGCCATGGGGCCCAAGCAATAGTACAGCAGATAAGGCACTTATCTTGCAAGCGGTTGACCGACTGACCCAGGTTCAATCCCCCGCATCCCTTATGGTCCTTTGTGCACCACCAGCAATTTCTGAGTGCATAGCCAGGAGTAACTCCTAAGCACTGTTGGGAGTGGCTCAAAAAATAAAAAATAAATAAAACAAAGTTATCACTGGGAATTATCACTACACTTCTCTTATAACACTAAGAAAGAAAACCCTCAATCTCAAAGGCCAAATCCAACACAGATCTGACAATAACAAGTGCTGCCAAAACTGTCAAACCATTGGAACCCTCCCACACTGCTATCAGGAATGAAAAATAGTACAGATGCTCTGGGGAAAAATTGGCAATTTCTTATAAAGTTAAATATATACTTAACCATATGACTCAGCAAGCAAATGCACTCCCAGATAATTGCTCAAGAGAAGTGAAAACTTAAAATCACACACATACACTATGCCCTAAGATTGGTGCTTTTACTCATAACTGCCCCAACTCGAAGCAACACAAATGTTCTTCAACAGATGAATGAATTCATCTGTACGATGGAATACTACTCAGTAATCAAAAGGAACACTAGGCTGGGCAGACAGCTCAAAGGGGAAGTTTTGTGTGTGAAAGTCCCAGGTTTGATCCTCAGCATCACAAGATCCTCTGACCACTGCTGGGATTGACCCAAGCACTGAGTCAATAGTGTCCTCGCCCCACCAAAAAAAAAAAAAAAGTGAGCTACATATCTGCACTAAACAGACAATTCTAAAATGCTTTCTGCTAAGTGAGAGACAGCAGGATCTGAAGTCAACATACACAGTTCCATTTGTATGACATTCTAGAAAAGACAAACATCGGGATAGAAATCAGTCATTCGTGGCCAAGAACTGGGGTAGAGGGAGTGGTTGACTACAAAAGGAAATGAAGACCAGAAGATAGTACAGGTGTCAAGGTCTTGGATACAGCTGAGCATGATTTGATCCCCATCATGGAGTATGATCCTCTGAGGTCCACCAGGAGTGATCCCCAAATAGAGAGTCAGAAGTAAGCCCTGAGGGGACCAGAGAGAGAGAGTACATAGCCCTGTCACAGTCCTCCCATTGTTCATCGATTTGCTCCAGTGGGCCCAGTAACATTGTGAGACTTTTTACTGTGTTTGGCATAACGAATCCATCACGGGTAGCTTGCCAGGCTTTGCTGAGTGGGCAAGATACTCTCAGTAGTTTGCCGGGTTCTCTGAGAGGGGCGGAGAAATCAAACTTGGGTCGCCGTGTCGGCCGTGTACCAGGAAAATGCCTTACCCAAGGTAGGGCATTTGCCTTGTACATAGCTTACCTGGGCTTGATTGCTGGCACCCCAAATGGTTCCCCATGCCTTACCAGGAGTGATTCCTGAGTGCAGAGCCAGGAGTAAGTCCTGAGCACAGTCAGTGTATCACACACACAAAAAAAATCCCTAAAAATACTTTTAAAAAGACTGCTAGTGATCTAAATAATGTGACATATCATGCTGTTGGATTGGATCTCAGTTTTCTTCTGAATTTACCCATAAACTCAATCCTAAGTAAACATAAATTCTAAGAGGTTTCTCGCCTATGGAAATCACATGTGTATTTTACATTTTATACAAAAATCATAAAAGCTAAATATAATAAAGATACTCTTGAGAAGAAGAGGTGAAAGTTCTCATACTATCCAATGTCAAGATTTACCATAAAGCCATAGGAATTATGGAGGGATTGGTGAACTAGAATAGATTCAGCTAGAAATAAACCCAGCCATAGACACCATCTGATTTGCAATAGAGGTTTGACTGCAGAGCAGTAGAGAAAGATGCTCTTCTTAATAAATAGGCTATGCCATTTGCTATCAAAATAGATAAAAATGACATTAGACTATTTTATACACAAAATCAATTCTCAGTAGATTATACGCCTAGATAGAAACAGAAGTACTTTTTGAAAGAAGATGTAGGAGAATAAATTCATAACCTCAAGGAAGGGAACAATTTCTTAATGAAAATCCCAGAAAACACTATGAAACACAGGACTGTTAATTACTATTTTGATAAGGTGACATCAAGAATTTGCATTCATCAAGAGATGACTTAACATAATAGATATATATTTTATATTTTAAATGCATGTCTAATTACTTTGGGATTCCGTCCTTTTATTTCTGAATATTTTTAATGTTGTATTCTGCATTTTATATCTTGTATAATGTTTTGTTGTTGTTGTTGCTGTTATTTTGGGGCCATACCGGGCAAGGCAAGCAAGCACCTTTCCTGCTTTTTTTTATTTATGACCCCATTTTTACTATTTTTAAAATGCTACTGCTTGGTGATGGAATGTATGAGGCTCTGGATTTAATCCCCAGGACTGCAGAAA